CAAGAAGTATGTCCCCATTATATGCAGCAACCTGACTCTTCCTCATTAAAAAGCTTTGTCTTGCAGGCTGAGCGTAAATCAACGAAGATGCAGGTTTACCCATGAGAATATTCTTAAACACAATGCGGTTTACTCATACACGTTGTGTAGAATGGAGTGTCGAATTAAACTCTGCCTTCAATATTGCGGTTGTATTCCACATTTTTATAGAAAGATCGGTAAGTAGATTACCCTAAGATTTAATGATGGTGATTTTTTTTTTGTAAAAATGAATTGGCAAATGAACTTATTCTTAGTCCACCTGATGGTAAAGGGCTACTGCAGCCAACTTTAAACAAAAACAGCTACAGATGTGTCGTCAACTCCTCTCGCTGGCTCTTCACTTTGGCTAACATAGTGAAGATTGTTGTGGCCAATAACAATAGCCATCATGTAAAGCGGGTGTTTGTGCTTACCTTGGTATGTTTTGCAATGATGGTCTGCAAGTTAGTGCGAGATCCGTATGGTGTCGGTTTTTCACAAAAGATCAAAGGATTGTGACAGAGTTTGGCCGCCGCGTCCACACGTTGGGCGCGCGTTTAGTTTCCTACGAGCTCCCAGAGCCATAGATAATACATTATATACCCCAGAGCGATTGCACGCACCCGATTTAAATTTTATGTTCACGCGTCGTAACCAGTGTTTACATAATGGCATTTACAATGACAAAAGAAAAAACTTTTCGTTTTATAGAGCTCTACCAAGCCGAAAAATGTTTGTGGAACCCAAGAAATAAATATCACAAAAATAAAAATTCTAATAAAAATAAATAAAATAATAATTTCATATACACATTGACATAGTAGCGGTATGCTGTGTATAAAATAACCGCAGAAGCCGTCAGTCGTCATATTCATATTAATAAATTCGTCTGCACATTGGTCTGAACCGAAGCAAACTGAACGAACTTCCAATGTGTGGATGCCATCACAAACTCTTGGCTATTATCTTTGCCAAAACATTCATCACTATGTTCGCCAACTTGAAGAGCCGCCGTAAAAACTTAGACGGAATGCCTCACAGTTTGAAGTTCTGCTATCTCTCACCCTTCACACCGGAACACCAACCAAACGGAACCAAATAGCCGTTGGCGGCAGAAATCCGTGCGGGGTTGTTACCTCAGACCTATAGCCTATAGTCTATAGTCCTATAGCCCAGTATGCGAGCAAAGAATTATTTTTACAAAATTTTTAAATAAATATTTAATTGAATAGAAGGTTATTGAATCTGACACAAGACTTTTACAACACAAGGTTTTTGTTTCCGTGTCGCACTTGTGCTGTTTATGATCATGGTACTAACGTTGTGTGTTTTATACATCGGGCATGGGTACGTTAGAATTAGGTAGTCAATCTTATACATAAATATAAACGCATGTCGTAACAGAGGGGTAGGCAGAGACTACGGACTTCTATTTGGCTCGATCCTGACCCATAGCTCTCGCCTTTTTTTACATTAATGCACCTAAGCACCCATGTTTTTTTTTTATTAAGGGTACCATTAATTTGGCCCTTATTCAATATATAATATTGGAGTAAATCTTAGTGTATTTCATATTCATTTGTGGTAAATAATTATCTTCAGTCACATAGCAAACTAATAGCTTCTGTAGTTCACCATGCTCTTTAAAAAGTTAAAAGTTAAAGTCGATATACGTCCCACTGCTCGGCACAGACCTCCTCTCATTTCTGAGAGGGTTTTGGGGTAAGAACGTGTCTGCCGCGCTGCCCCAATGAGTGGTAGCGAACTTCACATGTCTTCGAAATATTTTATTTTATTTCTCAGACATGCAGGTCACGATGTTTTTCTTCACCGCCGAGCACGTGGTAAATGATGCATGCTCTATAATGTCACACGTTTAAAATTTATAAATTCACATAATTATTACTACAAATGACCAACGAGCATCCATATAGACAGCTACATTAAAAATAGTGTTGAATCCTGAGGACGAAGATGAAATGCCACGTTATCAGCAGAAAGCTACTCCAGTTTTCATCACTCGACATACTACGCCATACTGAGAGTTTTGCTAATGCTTTTATTTCATAAAAGAAATAAGTATGTACAATTTTATTTATTTGTGCTTTTTTATTTAAAAAAATAAGGGAATGTCTTTTTTAACAAATGTTTTATCTATTTATCAATCGAGTAAGTTTTGCTATTTATTTTCCGTAGGTTACGAAAGAGTTTGCGATGTAAAAGGTTTACATTGTTTGGCGAAGTATAAAGGTAAAAAAATTAACGTATTTAATATGATATTTATTTATTTAGTTTAATTTAATGTTTAATATAAAAATAATAAAGTGTTTAATGGCAACTGGAGCTATGCGACCTGAAAACAAATGTTTGCTAGGGCTCATAGACATATACATTTGTCTTTAATTAGGAATCAAAATGTAGATACATTGTCAGTCCTGAGGACTTACATAGAATGCCTCGTTTCCAGTAAAAAAAGATCACCGGTTCTCTATACTCACCCTTCAAAAAACAGCAGTATTAAGCTGCTATTGCACGCTGGTATTCTGTAAGAGCATGGCCGTTTCCCGTATGACCTGACACATTCTTGCTACAACCATAATAGCGTGGCTCCACCACGGATCAAAAAGGTTTTGCCGTGATCATCACTTTTGGTAAGCGGATTGACGATCACAGTGCCATTCGTTTTGCATATTTTACGCTGCTGACCATCGCTGGTCTAGTTATTTTCCGTCTAACGTAAACAAGACGGTTACGTCGCCAGAAGCAAGGAAAGATCTGGTTTTTCTCATAGTCGCCTCTTACGGCACCTACAAAACAAAATGAGGTGATGGATTTCCATTTGCGAGACACGGCAAAATACTACTACGACCTGTACTATATATTCTAAGCTACTATTACTACCTTTCACTACTACCTTGCTTCCCCTTTAGATTGAATGTGGTTGGCCGCCGCAATATTTTTTTTTTGATTTACTGTCAGGAAGATGTGCTAAAAGTGATGCTTTTTGTTTTTATGTAATTATTTTCAGATGTGCTTTACAAACTGCGTGATGATTCTGGGAAGAAAATGGATTGCGCATGTTATCCCATTTGTGACGATATCAATTACGTGATACTGACAAGCGTGAGTTGAACCTTGTTTTTCTACTCCTTATCGTACTTAAAGTCATAATCATAAGTATAACTGATGGAAGGAAGGTACTGTATTCTGCTGTTATCTGCAATTACTTCATACGTGGTACAGCCATGCTGCAATTATGTTAGTAGTATATTTATAGCATGAATGGGTCGACTCAACCGGGGGAAGGACCACGCTCTCACAGAATACCGGCGGAAAATGGTAGCTTATTGCTACTGTGCTTCATGCGGTGAGTGTAGAGAATCGGAGACCCCTTTTTACTGGAAACGAGGCATTCCATCTTAGGCCTCACAGGTGACAACGCATCTGCATTTTAATTCGTAATCGAGGATAAACTTAGATGTCTACGGGCCACAGCAACCACTTACCATCAGGTGAACTCGTTTGTCAACCTATCCTATAAAATAAAATCAATTTTTCGTCTGCAGTTGCGACGTCACCTTTGACGAAAATGGTGGAACAGTCTGTTGTCGTTCTTTACCCTTTCAATCTTTCTGCTATTTAGCAGAACACAAAAGCTATCACTGTTTCTCTATCTTTTTCTCTCCTTCCCTCTCTCTCTCCCTCTCCCTTTCTCTCTCTCTCTCTCTCTCTGGGTCTAACTAACTTTATCCTATCACATGCATACTTCGCTTACGTTTCATATGTAGGGTAAGATTAAGTATCGCATAATATATAAAACTTCAATTAATTAAGTAATCTAGTTGTCTACAAAAATTTTGTACCTAGCTGAATTCAAACTCGTATCTAGATTCCAAGACAATTTATTATTATTATTATTTTAATTATTTGCCCATTTTTATCCGAATTAAGTTAAAATAACAAGATAAAAAGTTTTTCCTCTAATTTTACCTAAAGTATATTTTTAAAGTATAATGGCGTAGGAAATATGTATGAAGATAAATGAAATAATAGGTATATCATCACTTGCTACAATCGAATCGATGTAAAGATCTGGATGATTTTTTTAATATCATGATGAATATTCTTTGAAAGTAGTCTGTGCTCCACAGCTTTCGCGTGTATGCTGCAATTTAAAATAGATTTTTTTTTCAGTAAGAATAACAAACGGGTGCACTGTCCACTTCTATCTATCCTCGAATAACAGTCAAAATATACGTGAAGTATAGTCACGTAGTAGAGCCGCGCTGCAGTTATATTATGGTATCAGCACGAATGGGATGGCTTGACTGGAGAGAACTACGCTTTCATAGAATACTAGCGTAAGAAGTTAAAGTTTTAGCCTATATATGTATCACTGTTGGGCACAGGCCTCCTCTCATTTCTGAGAGGATTTTGGGGCAAGGAATTGTCCGCCGCGTTGCTTCAATGCATGTTGGTGAACTTACATGTGTTCGAAATATTTTTTCTAATTTCTTAGACCTGCAGGTTTCCTCACGATATTTTCCTATACCGTCGAGAACGTAGTTAAAATTGTAATTAACAATTTCATTGATGTCAGCGCGGTGGGACAGAATACCAGCGTAAAATAGCAGCCTATTTCGACTGCACCTCATAGTAAATGTAGAGAACCGGAGAAGCTTTTTACTGGAAACAAGGCATTCCATATTAATCCTCACGGTCGACCAGAATGCGTTCTGGTTCATATTCGAGAATAGAGTATTAGTCTTTGAGCCACAGCTCTACTTACCATCAAGTGGACCGTGTACTCGTTTGTCAGCCTTATTCTATTAAAAGAACATGGAGTGTCTCGTTTAAAAAAAAGAAACGAGTATAAAAGTTCTCCGCGATTTTCGTTCTTTATTGTACAAAAGCAGAATTATGGTGGTATTTTGATCTGGTATTCCGTGAATTACTTATTACAAAGTGGGTTTTTGCAGACAATTCAAGAGTGGTATTTGGGCACGAACCTGCAATGGGGCATCGCCACATATCCGCGAATGAGATACAGGCGAGATATCATTTTCGGATTCACAGACGTACTTGGTAAGCTAGTATACATTTTTTTTATATTATCCATACTTAATATTATAAATGCGAAAGTTTGTTTGTTTGTTTGTCCTTCTTTGACGTCGCAACAGAGCGTCGCCATGGCATGATTTTTTGTATGGGGATAGTTCGGTGGCTGTAGAGTGACATAGGCTACTTTTTCTGCGGAAAAACATCTCATTCCCGTGGGAAAATAGAATATGTTGCAAAAGTTTGTCCTTCTTTCACGTCGCAACAGAGCGTAGGCATGGTTTCGGTGGCATCGGTTTTCTGCGATTTGTTTTGTGATTTGGTTTAAGTTAAGTTACTGGCTATCGTTTTCGGATTCGTGTTGTGTCTTGAATAGGTTTTGTTGTTTTGATTTTAAAAAATGTTTAAAAGGAATATTTATTCCTTTTAAATATTTTGGATTTACTTTTTAAAAAAAATATTTAAAAGGAAATTTAATTCCTTTCAGATATTTTAACGTTTTTTTTATAAATAGGTTTTTTTGTTACTTCATAATGCCTCGCAAACGTAAGTCCAGCCTTTCAAGAGTATCTTCTCAAAGACAAGCGAAAAGATTAGCTCGATCGTTAGAATATTTAGAAGATGATGAACTGAGAAGGCAAGAACAAGCAGAGCGTCAGGCTGCTTTTAGAGCCTCTGAGACACCTTCTCAACGTCAGCAAAGGCATCTTGAACATACAGAGCGTCAGGCTGCTTTAAGAGCTTCCGAAACACCTTCTCAAAGTCAGCAAAGGTGTCTTGAACAGGCAGAGCATCAAGCTACTTTAAGAGCTACTGAAACACCTGCTCAAAGTCAGCAAAGGCGTCTTGAACAGGCAGAGCGTCAAGCTACTTTAAGAGCTACTGAAACACCTGATCAAAGTCAGCAAAGGCGTCTTGAACAGGCAGAGCGTCAAGCTAATTTAAGAGCTACTGAAACACCTGATCAAAGTCAGCAAAGGCGTCTTGAACAGGCAGAGCGTCAATCGACTTTAAGAGCTACTGAAAAACCTGCTCAAAGTCAGCAAAGGCTATTCGAAAAAGCGGAACGTCAGACCGACTTAAGAGCCGCGGAAACACCTGATGAAACTCAACACAGACTCATTGAGCAAGCTGAACTTCAATCTACTATAAGTGCATCTGAAACACCAGAACAGACACAGGCGCGAAGAGATGCAAATGCACAGCTCCAAGCTGAACGTCGACAAAATTTTCAAAGAAACAATTGGTCGGTTTTTAATGACGCAGCATTCAATTATGATCAGTTGATTGATTATAAAAATCACAGGTTAGTTGTTATCGAACTGATGGACAAGGCGTGTTGATTTTGCAGCGCTTTAAAACGGAAAGATGAGACCACAGGCATGTGCTGTTCCAATGGCAAAGTGTCTCTTCCGTTACTTGGGGAACCAGAAGAACCTTTGAAAACTTTCTTTTTATATGATGCTAATGAGTCACGGCACTTTTTAAACAGGGTCTGGAAATATAACTCATGCTTTCAAATGACGTCCTTCGGAGTTGACGTGGAAATAATAATGCCGGGATTTTCGCCTACATTTACGGTGCAAGGGCAATTTTATAATAGAATAGGTTCACTTTTTCCAGCTGAAAACGAACAGCATAAATTTTTACAAGTATATTTTATGGGTGACGAAGAAATCGAGGTAGACCGTCGCTGCCAATATATCCAGGGAGTTGAGAGAGACACAGTGTTCAAAATTCAAAGATTCTTGCATGAACGTAACATTTTAGTCAAAACATTTAAAACTGCTTTAGAAAACCTACCTGAAGAGGATTATAAAGTCGTCATTCAAGTAGATCATACCCCTCGAGGAGAGCATAAAAGGCGCTCGAACTAAAACGAAATAGCATCCATAATTAGTGGTGATCAATTTTCTTCACGAGACATTGTCTTACGAGCACGTGATGATACGTTGCAACGGGTAGACGATACATATAAGTTTTATGACGCTCTGCAATACCCATTGATTTATTGCAAAGGACAAGAGGGTTATCATTTTCAAATTCCACTCATTAACCCGGTCACAAAGGAGCCTACTCCGAACAAAAAAGTATCATGCATGGATTTTAATGCGTATCATAATATGATGTTGCGAAAAAATGATTTTAACCTCTTAGCCCGGTGTAGACAATTATTTCATCAATTTTTGGTAGACATGTATATGAAGGTAGAAAGTGAACGTCTCCGTTATATATCTTTAAATGAAAAAAAGCTGCGCGTTGAGAATTATATACATTTACAAGATGCATTTATAGCGACACCAATATTAACTCCAGAGATTTAGGCAAAATAGTAATTCTATCCTCATCATTCGTTTACAGTCCCCGCTACCTACATGAGTACACACAAGACGCATTCGCCTATGTACGAACTTATGGAAGACCTGATCATTTTTTGTTACTTTTACTTGCAATCCCACATGGAAAGAAATAACCGAGGAGCTAATGCCGGGCCAAAAAAGTACTGACAGACACGATTTAGTTGCTAGAGTATTTAGATTAAAAGTACAAAAATTAATGTATGTAATTAACAAAGGGAAAATTTTCGGAGAGGTGCAGTGCTTCATGTATTCAATTTAATGGCAAAAAAAGAGGATTACCGCATGCCCACATTCTAATATGGCTTAAAGAAAAGTTGCGGCCCAGCCAAATAGACGACATAATAAGCGCCGAGATTCCGGATCCTGAGCAAGATAAAGAATTGTATGATATACCATCGTCCGAAATATGATTCACGGTCCATGTGGAGCACGAAATTCAATATCGCCGTGTATGAAAGTAAGAAAATGTACAAAGAAATTCCCTAAAGAGAAACTATTAAAAGAAACAGTGCACAATGACAATGGCTACCCTTTATACAGACGCAGAGCTCCCGAAGATGGTGACAGGAAAGTTACAATCAAATCTCGCTCCGGAGCGTTCGAAACCTTAGATAACAGCTGGATTGTCCCGTATTCGCCCATTCTATGTAAAATGTTTAATGCCCACATTAATGTAGAAGCATGTAGCTCTGTCCGCGCAATCAAGTATATCTGTAAGTACATAAATAAAGGAAGCGACCAAGCAATATTTAATCTCAGGAGTGAAGGTGAGGCAAATCCCGTTAATGAAGTACAGACCTTTCAAGCAGGGCGTTATGTCAGCAGTAACGAGGCAGCGTGGCATCTCCTTGGCTTCCCTTTACATCAAAGACACCCAACAGTTACTCACCTTGCTGTGCACTTAGAAAACCCATGTGCACCGAAAGAAATTTCCAAGAAAGAATTGCATCACCGCCAAAAACTACACTAACAGCCTTCTTTCAACTTTGTCAAACCGATCCCTTTGCAAAAACGTTGTTATATTCTGAAGTCCCCCGCTATTATACTTGGAACACATCTAGGAAGGAGTGGAATCGCCGTATTCAAGGTGCGCCTGTTGCAAATTAGCCAGGTGTAAAATCATCAGATACCCTTGGTCGTGTGTATACCGTCCATGTAACTAATTTAGAATGTTTCTGTTTACGATTGCTGCTGCACCATGTTCGGGGTCCTACAGGATATAAAGACCTTAAAACTGTCAACGAACAGTTTTAGATCTTTATATTATACAATCAGTAATGCGCAACTTATAGAGAAGCATGTGAAGCTCTGCATCTTTTAGAAAACGATAATCACTGGGATGAAACCATGGAGGAAGCTGTGCAGTGCCAGTCACCAGCCAAAATTAGGGATCTTTATGCAACTCTCATATCATCTTGCGGGCTATCTAATCCACATGAATTGTGGGACAAATATAAAGAGTATATAGCAGAAGATATTTTGCGAAGGTTACAGCAGACACATGCGAACATGACATCCAATGAACACATTTATAATGAAGCACTTGGAAAAATTGAAGATAAAGTAATGGCAATGGTAGGCAAAAAATTAGGCAAGAAAATTAACTAAGTGATGAAATTATACGTGAAACAAACTACTATACCAGCTTTGCAGCAGCAAGTAGCCGAAATTGTACCCCGCTTGCTTCCCGAACAAAAACGAGTTTTGGAAAAAGTATTAGGACAAATTGAATCTGAAAATGGTGCACTTTTCTTTTTGGATGCCCCTGGAGGAACTTGGAAGACATTTTTGTTAAATTTATTATTAGCGCAGGTACGGAAAGATAAAAACATTGCTGTGGCCGTAGCTTCCTCCGGTATAGCCGCCACGCTGCTAAGCGGGGGCCGCACTGCACATTCTGTTTTAAAACTCCCTCTAAATTCTAGCCCAGGAAGAATCGCCGATCTGCAACTTTAGCAAAAATAGTGCACGAGGTATAATGCTACGACAATGAAAACTTTTAGTGTGGGACGAAAGTACAATGTCGCATAAAAAAGCTGTAGAAGCACTAAATCGAACGCTCCAGGTTTTGCGCAGCAATAGCGATGTAATTGGAGAAATGGTGGTTTTACTGGCCGGTGACTTTCGCCAAACTTTACCTGTCATTCAAAAGGGCACACCTGCAGATGAATATTAACGCATCTAGTCGTCTATTTTATGGAACAAGTTAACAAAATTCAGTTTAACTACGAATATGAGAGTGCATTTGTATAATGATATCAATGCTGGAAACTATGCTGACACACTATTAAAATGTTAGCGATGGGCGGTTGGAAACGGATGCTGTGGGCTCGTTAAATTGAGGAGGATTTTTGTAATTTAGTACAGAGTCATTCCGAATTAATTGCCAGCGTTTATTCAGATTTAACGAACAACATGCATGAAGACAAATGGTTATGTGAAAGGGTGATTCTTGCACCAAAAAATGAGAGCGTTAACAAAATAAATTCAGATATATTAAGCGAAGTAGCAGGAGAAATAACAGAGTATTTGTCAGTAGACACAGTTATGGATACAGAACAGAGCACTTCATATCCCTTAGAGTTTCTAAATTCTCTAGAGTTGTCAGGTGTGCCCTCACATAAGCTTCTATTAAAATTAGGCGTCCCAGTCATGCTAATGCGAAATTTAGATGCTCCTCGCTTATGTAACGGGGCAAGACTGCGTGTGGCATATCTTGGACGGAACATAATCGGTGCTACAATTTTGACAGGCGTAGGAAAAGGTGAAAATGTTATTATACCACGGATCCCTATAATTCCCACAGATCTTCCTTTTCAATTCAAGAGGTTGCGGTTCCCTATTAAGCTCAGTTTTCCAATGACAATTAATAAAGCGCAGGGCAAACGTTATAGGTAGCGGGGGTGCTTCTTTCATGGTCGGCTGTATCTGTATGTGTTCGCGTGTGTCAAATGCCCAGAATCTCCACATTCTTTCCCCGAATGGAAAAACATATAACATTGTGTACGGTAGCGTTTTAAAATAGTGTTCAGTTAGTTTTTTTTCCCAAAATTCCCACAATCAAACAATCAGAATTCCCACAGATCTTCCCTTTCAATTCAAAATTTCCTATTTAGCTCAGTTTCTTTTCAATTCCAAATGCTGCACCTCTGACGGACCTATTAAGCTCAGTTTCCTTTCAACTCAAAAGGCTGCATCTCTGACGAATCAATTTAGCTCAGTTTCTTTTCAAAAGTCTGCATCCCTGACGGATAATTATGCTCAGTTTCCTTTAATTAAAAAAATATCCCATTTCCATTTGGAATAAACAGGCTATTTTCATCTTTCCATGCGTATACGCTGCCTTTCAAAATATTTAAATAGGCTGACGCATCAATTTTGCTCAGTTTCCTTTTAATGGCTGCATCTCTGACAAATCTATAAAACTCAGTTTTCTTTTAATTCAAAAAGCAATGGATAATTCATTTCCCAGTGACCATGCGGGCGAAGCCGTGGGTAACAGCTAGTATGTTATAAGTAAGGAGATATGAAGGAAGTCGATAAATCTAGGTGGCTTAAGACTGTAGGTTTTGGCGGGGAGGCCTATGTTCAGATGTAGCCGGGATATAGCGTTACAGCCTGAAAAAGTCCATTGCTGAACATAGGCCTCCTAATTATGAGGCAATCTATGGAGATAGCCTCGTAGTTATAATTTTGCCATAGTTGCCATGATTGGCAGGTGGGTTAGCAACTGCAGTTTTTTATAATTTTTTATAAGTTTTTTTATATTAGGTTACTATCTCGTAACGTGAGTAATATTTTATATTTATTATTACTTGTCTGCTCAGGCTCGCTATACGCTAATAAGCTCCAAATATTTAATAGTCCTTTTTTTAAATAGATCTTAGAATATACTTCAGTTACCGATGGATCTGTTTTCGTTAAAAGATGCTAAAAATTTAGCTAAGATCCGCGTAGTAAAATAAAACGATTTGTCTTACTTAGTTTCATCATCTCCCGTCCTCTCTCAGTTGCGTGCACTGATGATCATCTTTAATATATAATGGATTTCCGTAAAGTAACGCCTGATTCTGTTAATTATCTGTTATTATTTTTCACTCTATATATATTACACCATGTCATATTATTAACCTTTTAAAAATGAAAAAGGGGATACCTGTGGAGCTTTCTTTTTTACTCCGGTCAGAGTAACCGCATTTCAAAATGGTGGTAGATTAATGGCGGGTTCCTATATTTTTAAACGCTTAGTTTTGTTTTAAGAGCCGTTATGCAGAAAACAAAGTGTACTAAAACAGTTTCTAAAAACAAAATACAAGTTCAACTATTTATGAACCGTTTAAAACTTTTTCATTTAGGTTATCCTAAGTTGCTGAATGAGTTACTCGTATTTTGTAATATAAACTGTTTTTACAACCCGCATGTATTAAAACAGATCGGTGCGGATAAAAAAATATAGAAACGGCTATTAGAAGATTTAAAAGAATGATATTTTTCAAACTATATTTGTTTTATTTGTTTCATTTTTTTCCAGTGGCGGTTGGCGGCATGGCCGGCTTGTTCCTAGGATGCAGTGTCCTCAGTTTTATGGAGATAGCTTACTTTTGCACTTTGCGCTTCTATTGGTACCTCCGCGGACGTTAACTTGGCTTCATATTTGTAGGATGTTAGACAGAATAATGCTTTGACGTTAATATCCACCGCAGTTAGTGTTTATTTTATGGTACCTTTGTTGTTAAGATTAAATGAATGAAAATAGAATTAAAAAGATTTAAAGTTACATGGTGAATTTATCACCACGTTTAGTTCCGTGGGTTTTGTAAGACTATGAGTAATGCCGGAATCATCTCATGGCTCCAGCAAATGGCAGTATAAACTCAACTCAACAGTGTATATTTTAGTTCTTTAATTTTATTTTTGTCATTAAACAACATCACCTTTATCCTATATCGTGAGGGCTGTTCACATACATAAATTGCATACAAACTGCATACATGATTGCACGCTGACAAACATCTAGACCCGGGACAAGTATTTGAAGGCACTACAAATATTTGATACGTGTTAGATTCGTACCCGCGGCTCTCGGCGCAGCAACTCAATTCTAAGCCACTGCGCTTCGGACCTGTTAAAAGACAGTAATGTCAGCTACGAGTATAAGATGCGAGCCGTCTAGTACAGCGATCGTCAGTCAAACAGTGAACTTTAGAAACTGATAATAAAGTATTTGTGATGATTAAAATTGTAGAGCGTGGTGGAGCCAAGCTGCAGCTTATTATATCTGTAGCATAATACAAGCGAGAAACAGTAGCACAGCGCTGTATTTCGTACAGTGAATAACGGGTACCGGTGTTTATTTTTATTGTTAGCTAGGCATTCTATCTCGGTCAAGTATGCTCGTTTTTACCCGTAATCTATAAAAAAATAATGATGATGCCGCAAAAAGCATCGCTCGGGCACCGTGCTGCCGTCAGGATCCGTGTTACTTCACCACATAATGTGTTTTTCTTCTTTATTTTTTTTTCACTTTATTAGGTTTACCAACAATTGACAACACTAACACATCAAATTAATACAATTACTCAAAAGTATTAACACAAGTGCTACAATTACTTAAAGGTAAACTCCGCATGCATATAACTTTATAAAAAAAACTGAAAAACAATAAGTTATTCATCAACTAAAATTAAATACACATTATTAGTGAATAGTGCACATAAAGAAAACTAAAAAAAAAAACGAAGAAATCTATTTTAATTTACCCTAACTTATAAATTAACGGAGACACTTAGAGAATGTTTTGGGTGAGTCAAAGTGAATGTCGATTTGATCGCTATATCCATTAATAACTTTGCAGAACCTGGCATAAGGAGAATTCTTTCCCAAGACAGTTCTTCTTAATGGTGGACTAAGTGGTGCAATAGAGCTGCGAGGTAATCTCGAAGGTACACAAAACTTAAAAAGTTTAATTAAACTGGGGCAATTAAATGTAGAATTAAACATTTTGTGTACAAAAACTGCATCATTATACTTTCTGCAACTTTCTAAGGTTTCTAAATTAAAATGTCAATTTACTATTATAGGACCGTAGCTTTTTTGCTTTACCATCAGAGAATGCTATATGCCAGAGGAACCGCTTTTGAACACGTTCGATACGTAATGAATGTGTAGCATAGTGTGGTCTCCAGACCACACTACAATATTCTAAAATATTACGAACTAGACTGTTGTAAAGACATATTTTGGTTTTGTAATGCATAGTTTTCGAGTTCCTTATAACAAAACCCAACATTTTAGATGCTCTCATAATTATGTTATCCAAATGGGGTACAAAAGTTAATTTTTTATCATATATTACGCCAAGATCCCGAATGGTCTCTACTTCCTTAATTTTAGTATTATAAATAAAGTAATTGACATGTATTAAATTCTGTTTTCTGGAGCATTTAACATGATAACATTTACTTGTATTTAAGTCCATTCTGTTGGTGTAGCACCATTGAATTAGTCTATCAATGTCTCTTTGTAATAATTTAGTATCACCATCACTCTTAATTATTCTCATAAATATTAAGTCATCCGCATATAAAAAATATTTTGAAAACAGAAAACATTCTTTAATATCATTTATAAAAAAAGTCACCATTTATCACGTAAACGTCTACTGTAAGACGTATGATCCTCTCATTAGTGGAATCGTTTGACATCGTCACGTTTGTTAATCAGTTTGGCGATTAAATTAACAAACTGACATCTTTAATACGGTTTCTTTTTGACGATCTAGTTAATTTACATCTGACATATACAAAATAGTAATCTGCCATCTATCCGATACAACGAGGTATTACTGGTTTTACCCAAAGCTATACTCGGAACTATAAGTGGCGATGGATTCCCTTCCGTTGCTGCCACCTAGCGTGTAATGTGTGTACCACATCTAAACACTTTTAATGGATTTTGTTTTCAAATCAACATAATAAATGAATTATAATTTTATTATTTCGTTCCTTCAAACCTTGTAGAATTATACATTGCTTTGATGGTTTTAAATCTATTCGAAACTTGTTTGAATTTTATTATATACTAAAATAAAATCTATGATTTATTTCTTTCATTTTATAAACCTTGTAGAAATTGTATACGCTTTAAAACAGTTCATTTTTTTTGAGTTTCGTGTCATCATAATTATCTAATTGCCAATATAGCTTACTAATCCGTATCCGTATGGGCCGGCAATATAGCTCGAAGAACCGATAACCGAAGAGGAAAAAAGGTTCTCGAGTGGCAGCCTCGTACCATTAGGCGAAGTGTAGAGCGACCCCCCACTAGAGGAGCAACGACCTGGTAAGACATGCAGGAAGTCAAGGAATGCAGGTGGCTGAGGAACGAACGTGCTTTGTGGCATTTCTTTGGGGGGGGGGTTATGTTGAGCAGTGAACTTGTGATTATTTACATAATTTTGCACAATTTTATAAAATAAAATTGGAATTGAAAAATTCTCAGCGCTGCTCTAATCTGTTGTTGTTGATGAAGTTCATATCATCTTAATTTATTGTGTTATGTCTATCAGATGTGTAGTTTCCATCGCCATGTTGTTCTTCACTGCAAAGCGATAAATCAACATTTAAAGTTCTATTTGAGAGATTTTACGTGGTACAGCCACGCTGCACCTATATTATGGCTGCGAGGCGGATGGGTTGAGTCCGAGGAAGGACCACGCTCTCACAGAATACCAGCGTAAATTAGTGTGTTTTAAATGGTGGGTGTAAAGAACTGGAGACCCTTTTTGGTAAGGAGGCGCTTTGATTCTTAATAGATGATTTATGTTGGTGTCTATGATCCATAGCATCACAACTATAGACTCTCACAGTAACTAGACTGTGTATATGATGTGCAATTTGTTATAGATTAAATCATTTATTTATTCTTTACTGTGTTGCCTATTACAAAATAATACAAAATGCGAATTCAGTGTCATGAGACATTCTCTACGATTCAACCAATGGAGTGGTGAGAATGTTGCGTAGGTGTAGCAATTTAAAGAAGAAAAAAATAAACAAAAACAATATTTGAAAACACTTACACAAAATGATGTTGATACTTTATATAAAAGTAATATCTTGATGGGGTTTATGTATCGATTAATTAGTCATGTGAACATTTAATCTGTTCTTATGACACGCAGATATAGATAATTTGTGTTGGTATCACATGTTTGAAAATTATGTTTGTAATACTATGTTACAAAACTCAGTATACTAAGCTACTAACAATAGGGGATCGCACTTACCCTCAGGTAAATTTAATTTAGGGTTAGAGCAATTGGTGGCGACGTATATCGGGTCGTATTAACACATCGTAAATTCAACCCTTAAGCACCTTGCTAATAATTAAGATAGTTGGGCCCTTTTGAATCGTTTGCCCAATTAAGCAATTCACCTACTATTGAGGTCGGGTTAAGTAACTGGTTGAAGTACCTGTGAGTAATATTATATTATACCTTTAATTTATATGATCCTAATTAAGATCAATATAGTTTAATGCGTATTGAGGATATCATAGAAGGAAATAAATAAATAAAGAAATTTTTTATCCCGCCACATAATCAAAACGTGTGTACATAAAATTTCCCATTCCAAACGTTATTGAATAGTACTAAACGGTGCCGAGCTTGACGAAAATGTGTAGCACTCAGCATTTGGCGTGGTGAACCACAAAGTGAAGCGAAACACACCATAGTAGTAAGTCTCTTTGTATTATCATAATAACTATAGCAATGGATCTGTAAGCTGATATAGCAAAGGGCTGGATATATAGCTCGGTGAGCCGACTACCGACGGGGATGCAAGGTTCTAAAGTGGGAGCCTCTTTCCTGCGAGACAAGTGTAAGAGGGCCTCCTACTAGGTGGAGTGAGGTCTTGGTATGATATGCAGGAAGTTGATGGATGCCGGTGGCTCAGGACAATGCTTTGTGACATAAGTTTGAGAGAGAACTATAATCTGCATACTTGTGATTATGATGATATAAATTTTGTAAAAGTCAAGTAATTTTATTTTAATATTATAGTGTCAAATGAGATAATAGTTCAACCGGTGTAAAGCTTGTGCAGCCCATGGATATCTGTAAACAACTCTACGAAAAGAAAAATACAGAGATAGCTGCTATATTATGATTGAAGCACGAATAGGTCGGCTCGACTGGGAAGGATCACGCTCTCAGAATACCAGCATATAATAGCAGCTAAATAGTGATGTGTTTCGTATGGTGAGTGTAGAGAACCGGAGACTATGAGACTGGAGATATTTTTACTAGAAACGAGGCATTCCATCTTCTCAGGCGTTTGTGTTTTATTGTTAATTACATTACTTTATGACGTTTTTGTATATGGTAGAGTCATGCTGCAATTATATTAATAGTATAGTTTTAGCATAGATGAGTCGACTCGACCAAGCAAGAACCACGCTCTCACAGAATACCAGCGTAAAATAGTAGCTTAATACCGCTGTGTTTTCGTATGGTGAGTGTAGAGATCCGGAGACCCTTTTTACTGGAAACGAGGCATTCCATCTTAGTCCTCATGGGTGACAATGCATCTGCGTTTTTATTCGTAATCGAGGATATATGTATCTATGGGCCACAGCAA